AGACGCACTCCCAACATAGTGGAGTTAATGATCAAAATTCTTTATCAAATAATAACATTTCTTACGATCAAAGTTCTCCATCTTTAATTGATCTAAATCCCTTCTTTAGCAATTTAATTAATCATTATATTATTGACAAAGAATTAGAAAACAAAATTCTTGCGGCAAAAAAACAAATTTCTGATGCACAGAAACAAATTTCTTTTGCACAAGAAAAAAGAAATGCCAATTCTTTAATTATACAAAGATACATGGATCAGATACGAAGATAGAACAAGCTTATGTACTGTATTATTAGTCGATCATTAATCTCTCATGATTGTCGTTATACTATTCACAACGGCTCAATTGTGCTTTAAACTAACAACTGGTTTTGGGGTGTTATACGCCGCAAACATAGTGCAGCACTATATGATCGGCGCACTAAGTAAGATTTTTGAAATTTTGTTGATCATTTTTTTGAAAAAATTTACATAGTAATTTAATTATAAAAATCGGTGCATTTTTAAAATGCTCTAACTATCGTTCTAATAAAGAAAATTTATTTCTGTAATTTGTAAATGATATATTAATAACATAGCTTTAAATCTATGTGGATCGAGTTGCTCTAAGTGAACTAATGTTCGACCACTTAGATCCGTAATGCACGCAGGTTCTGTTATATGTTTGAATTGGAGATATTTTTCTAATTTATTACATTAATTTATCTAAAATTATAAATAAATTTTCATAGTAAAATATTCGTTATTTATATGTTTAAACTACAGAGATCTCCAAAATTCACACATTAATATAAAATATGGCCACCTAGGTTTAAAATTATGCTATTTTATTATCATTTACAAGTTTTAGAATTAAATTTGCTTTGCTAGAACGGGAATTAGAACATTTTAAAAGTCGAATTTTCTTAATACTCTATAAACGATCTCCAAAATCATGTGATAAACTCTGAGCATTTGCTTCTAAATATTTGTGCGCCAAATCTTATTTAAAGTTAAATTAATTGTTAATTTTTTAATAGATTTTTTAATATAATTGCAATAATTTGTATAAAACCTTTAATAAAGAATAACGATAAATGATCAGTTATAACATCCCAAAGATCTATCCAGAGATTGTTCAATTTCTCATTATAAAATCCTTACAGTTTGATTTTATTATATATATACGAACTATGGTTGTAAATCATTTGGCATCTAACACGTACTCGCCATAATAGACTTTTAAGAAATAATTCAAATTCCGTTCAAAACTTAAATGATTTTTACGAAAGACATATTCAATATTTAAACCGAGAAAAATCTCGGGTTGAATTATTTCTCAAGAAAAATAATATCAGAGGTAATGACTTAGAATCTAAACTTGAAAAATTACAAAATATTATAGATTAAGTGAAAGAACAAAAAGAAAGAATCAAACGATATCAGAATACACAAACTATCGTATCTAGTTGTCAAGGAGTTAGTCTATAACCGTAGTTATAGATATCTAGCTCAGAGTTATCTGACACTATCGTTATACCTAAAAACGTTTCTTTATTTTTAAAACACGATTTCATACAGAAAGTACTATATACTTTTATTTCGACACCACCTCTTTTTTTATTCCAATCCATCTCAATTCTTTTATTTGAATAACACTTTTATATGAAATTATTGTTACATCATTTTATACATCATTATGTATTCGACATTTTAAACTTTATTATACTTTCATATATCGTTTATTAATATTGATCTGTCATACTGATTAACTCTTATTATGTCACGTCATCGTATCTAATTCCAGCTCGCACTATAACATAATTCCACCCATTTATTCACCAATAAACATTCCGCGTACTAAATACAGAGGTTCGTCGAAACATACTTGACACTAGTATTATCAACCAAATAAACAAGAATTTAAACAAAAAAATCAATGAATTGAAAAATAAAAATGAAGAAATTCAACGACAAATTCTTACGTTAAATAATGATCTTTATTACGAACGGACTTTAAACGAACGGATCATCACTAATCAGCAAACCCAGATAGATTTAGAAACTCGCAAAGAGATCTCTGCTGGTGTATTAAATAAGAGAGGTGAGATTGTAGATTATAGTAAAATAAAAAATAAAAAATAACACAAACTAACCATCCTTATATTTAAGATATCGCACCACCTCGCGTTTGAGGAGAATAGATGTGTTTTTTACCGAAGATAATAATGAAATGTAAATAGTTAATTAGTATAATAATGATAATAATAATATCAAATTTTTGTCTTAATTTTTTCTATTCTCAGACTTCATATTTTCGTATTTCATCATGCGAATAAAAAAAAAATTATTTTACTCAACGAACCGACCTAGCCACGGGCTTTCCGTGTTCATCGAGTATCGACCCATCATTG